ACAGCAGAAAATACACTAAAACAATTGCTCTATTCTGCAGCATGCTTTGTAAGTGCTGTGAGCATTTTATACACACAGTAATCCCCGTGCCAGGACTGGGCTATGGACAGAGAAGGGGAGAACTGGAGCTCACTGCTGAGCAACATTAATGGGAGACGAAAAATGTCCTCCACCTAATGAGAATGTGGGCTTTTGGAAGAGGATAACTTGGGTTGGAAGGGATCTCTGGAGATCATCTGGTCCAACCTCCATGCTCAAGCAGTGTCTCTCACTGATTACCTAGGATTGTGTCCAGGCAGCTTTTGCATATCTGCGGGGAAGGAGACTCCACAGTCTCTCTGGGCAACCTGTTCCAAAGTTCAGTTACTCTCACAGTAGAGCTTTTCCTCGTATTCAGATGGAATGGAGCAGTTCTCTGCCTAATGCAGCCCAGAATGACAGTGGTTTTCTTGGCCATGGGGGCATATTGACAGCCCATGGTTAACTTGTTGTCCACTAGAACCTTCACTGGAGATCTCTTTTCCAGCTCGTCAGCTCTCCCAGCCTGGTCCCTGCTGTGATTCCTTCTCAGGTCCAGGATCCTACACTCACCCTTGTTGAATTTCAATGGGTTCCTCTCTGGCCACCTCTGCAGCCTGTCACAATCCTTCTGAAAGGCAGCACATCACTCTGGATATCAGCTACTCCTCCTAGTTTTGTACTATCAAATAACTTGCTGAGGAGGCACTCCATTCCTCCATCCAAGTCACTGACAAATAAGTTCATAGAATCATAGAATCATAGAATCACAAGGTTGGAAATGACCTATAAGATCATCTAGTCCAACCGTCTTCTCATTACCATTTCTACCACAAGCTACTAAACCATATCATGCAGCTCCTCATCCAGATACCTCTTGAACACTGCCAGGGATGGTGACTCCACCACCTCCCTTGGCAGGCCATTCCAGTGCCTGACCACACTCTGAGAGAAAAAATTAAATAATACTAGACCTAAATCAAGGTCTTCTTGATAATCAAGGCCTAAAATATATGTCCTAGATGGATGCTACAGTGAAAGAAAAGCCTTTGCATCTTTATTTCCAGTCAGATCTCAGCATGCCAAATAAAGCAGCCCCTGAGGGGATTGAATCTACACATCACAGGATAAGAATAGGTGCAGCCAACACACAGAAAAAGGTCACTTAGTTTCATTACATTCCATCCGTCTCACAGCAAGCAAGGATCAGCGATGGCCCAGGTTCACTAAATACTACATAGCGCTGGAGCATTTACATCTACAGGCTACCATTTAATTGCAGTGTAATCTAATTCTATAAGATTTGTTCACGGAATATAATATAAACATGTCTAGGTATTTATACGTCACATTTACAGAGCTAGACTCTGCTAGTCATTACTTGTGTAAAGCCTACAAAACATTATGTGATCACTGGCTTGGAATAACAAAAAACATTTCTGCAAACCACAGTAATCTTAAGTAGATAGTATTAGATAGTATTGTTTATAACGAAAATCAGCCATCATCACTGATTCTAATGGTATTAACAGATAACAGCTTTTAAATAAGAAAAGCAGAATACACATTATTTAAAAGAAGTATGGAAAAAAAATATTGTCCACCTATTAGCCAAAGCTTTAAATTCAGTTTCAAATAAACTGCATGGAATGATCAGGTGACAAAGTACTTTATTAATGTGTTTTTCTTTTCCATAATGCTACTTTTGTTTGCTGAGCTTGCTGTCTGTAAACAACTTATGCTCACTTTTGATTTAAATAGTGCTAACATTTCTGCATTAACTACAATAATACAGTGTGAGCCATAACACCATAAAGTAAGACATAAAAGCAATTTGTTCACTATGTGATATCGATTTTTAAATAAGTGAGCAAGGTTTGTTCTTATTCCATATAGAAAACAAACAAACAAAAAAAAACAAAACAAAACTAGAATTAATGAAATTAAGCATACAACTTTTCCAGACTTTTCTAAAGCTGGGCACCAGTATAAAAAGGTTTTTGTATACATTTTTCAAAGCCACAGAATAATGCCACATTTTCACTGAAGTGCTTCAGAAACGAATGCTTCACATTCTTCATCAAACAAAAGACATCTGTTCCTCTAAATTTATTTCAACATGACAACTTATGGAAAAGGAAGCATTTGAAAAAGGAATATTTTAATGCAGATACTTTGTCAGTATATGAAGCTTTGTTATGAAATCATACTTTCCTTCCACCATTATACTTCCAAACTAATTTCACTGAAACTCCTAGAAATCTTATCATCCTTGTTTTTTCCAGTGAACCAGAGTACCAAGCATTTTGAGTCAAAAAGAAGTTGTTTTCTGATTCTCAAAACCAGACCTAGTTGGGAAAGAACATCAGAGAATTGATGATCCAATTTTTTTCTGACTAACACTTTCCTGACTCCTGTGTCTGATATTAGGGACAGGCAAAGAGAGATCTTTATGGCAGAAATTGACTTCACGTCCATCACTGATGGAGATAAAATGCCTGAATTAAGCTGTTCACTCCAAGGGACATAAAGAATAGAAATTTATGCCAAGAAATTCCTGTCAAAAAAAAAAATAAATCATGACAGTTTTAAGATTAGGGTCAGGTGATAAACACCTTCCTGAGTTTGGTAGTGGAAAACAATGAAATTCATACAGATAACTATTTATCTTGCAAAATTAAAAAAATAAAATAGAAGTTAGATGTGAAAAGTCCTATCTGAAATGAAATTTGGTGTTTGCTTTTCTTCTATTTGTAAAAGTATCGAGACCTTGGTCACAAAACTGAGGAAAACCATATCTCACTCTTGCATAAAAGACTTCTGATTTGATTCTGTGGGCTACCTGATCTCATTTCACCTCTCAATGACCAGAAAAAACTAGATTTTGGAAGCAAGTTACCAACAGAGCTCAGAGAGATCTATGATGGTTTGCAAACACTCCAATATGAATATAAAATAAAGGGTATGGAAAAAAAAAAAAGGATGAGGAATAAGGTAATAGTCTTTAGATGACAGAAAATTACTCATTACGTTTAAATTTAAAACAGCAAAGAATCGATTCTTTGCAGATATCTAAAGATATGTAGATGAAGATCTTGAATGAATTGATTGCAGGAGACAAAACAAATAAACATTAAATTTAAAAAAAGAAAGTGTACACAGGGAGAAAATCCTAAGTGTTCCCGTAACATAATGGTCTCTAAATGAACTACGACTCAAGAAAGATATCAAGAAATAGTCATTGTGGAAGGTTTTATGGAAATGTATTGACTACAGTTAGCAGTAGTAAAAAATAATCAAAAGCATGGCACATTTAGCAGGAAACTAAGAAATGAAAAGAAATCAAAACAATGTCATAAAATAAATTTTGTATGTAAATATTGTTCATTCCTTGAAAAATATATTCAGCTTTGATCATCCCGTAGCAGACAGGATAAGTGGGAAAAAGCTACCGCAAATGGTTGAGGATCTGAAGCTTTTATATATATACAAAAAGAGACATAAAACCTAAGATTTTTCAGCTTGGAAAAGACTTTCTGAAGAAAGGAGGATGTATACTGTTTTGGAAAACTATTTTATAAGGAAGAAATATGAGTAGTTACAACAATACATGTAACTCCAATCCTTGAATCATTAATAGTACACAGAGGATGAATAGGAAATTACTATGATAGTTTGCAGATATTAATTGTAATGATTAGCAATAACAATTAACTATGTATATAATTACAACAATATAACAATACATTATAAGAATTAATTATAGGCACTTACTACAATTACTGTTATTATAGCATGATTAAATTGTGAGACAGCGCCACATAATGTTCTGAAAGCCAAAAGTTAAAGTGATTTCCAGAGAGGAGAAATTCATAGGAGACGGGGCCATCAGCATCTAGCATTTGGTCTGTATGGGCTCCAGAAAGTCTGTTTTTGTGCTTCTAGGATTCTTTGTTTTGAATCATTTGAAGCCAGAGATCATTTTGTCACTGGTGCCAACAGGACCAGGGTGTCACATCTGATCTCTATGAAATAATTATTTCTGAAAGAAATCATTCTGAAAGAAATGAGAGAAAATATATTGACGCAGACAGGAGATCTAGTGAGTAAGTTGGCAGTGTTTACTTCTGTATTCCACTATATGAGAAATATCTCAGATGCAATCTCCTTTCTCAGAGACCGTAACAGTTGCTGTCAATAATGTGGAGTTGTAATATTTATATCAGTCATTACAAAGAATGTAGTAACAGAAACATGAAATTGTATTAACATAAACCACAAGAAGTTTTAATTACCAATTAATATCATCCTTCTATGAAACCTAGACAATCTAAATTCTGTGGAACATACTCAAAATAACCACCTTCCTTACAGTGATTTTATTCCTGTACATTGAAGTGATTCCTTTCTGTGATTTCTACTATGTTGCCTCTATTGCTTTTTCTTACCCTCTAGCTATTTTGTGACCTTCCTCACAGAGAATACCAGCATTTCCTTGACTAGCAAAGCCCTAGTTCCTGAACCTAACTCTGTCTATCATGAAGTGATTGAAATCCTGGCCTCATTTCTTCTTGCTGCCAGCAACACAGCAGGTGCGGGTAGTCAGGGCTCTCCTTGTGTTTCACCCAAACAGCTGCGTATTTTCACAGGTGTTTTCCCTGCTGTTTGAGAACATCAAACAAGATGGCTGCTTCCTGAGCTCTTCCTCTGAATTATCAGTACACTTTCTAGTAGATAAAAACCTGTATTCCAATATTTAAAATAGAAAAGGGAGTAGAAGGGTCTACTTTAACATAGAATTCTGAGGCTTAGTTGTCTCTTCTCTCATGAGAAACTGCTACAGACTTCGAGTATGCTTTTTAAAAGAACGCTGTAATTCTGAAAATCAGTTTTGCAAATAAAATTGGTACTTTACTGCTACAATTTCTTTCTCTCCCCTCAGTATTACATCTAAAGAAAACTAGAGAGAAAATAAATTGTACCTTATTTTCATGCTGCCTTGCTTCGGGCTGGATCTCAGTTTCTGCAGATTTAAACAGAGTCCTTTTATTGCACTTTTTTTCTCGGTATTGGCCAAGACACAACCAAATCTTCAAACTCTGCTGGAAAAAAACGAAAGAGAGGTAAAAGAACTAATTATGGGGAGCATCAATGAAAAGCATGAGAGAACTGCAGGGTTTCAGAGCTGAAAATGTGTCCAGATGGGGACTCTAAACAGGGCAATTCTGACAGCACCCACAGTCCCTGCGGGTGTCTACAGAGGGATTAAAACACATTACATGTGTAGCATATGTGGCTGGGGTCATTCACAGCATAAAGTTCATGCACTAGGAAACCTCACAAGCTACACCATTAAACACCATTAGTCCACCTGTGACCACTGCTCTAAGAAAGACTTTCCAGCCAATGTCCCCAGCAGGCTCCCCCATAACATCCAAGAATTCAAGCTGTCTCACCGCAGTTGCTTATCTTCTAATGGGAGTAAGATGGCCTCTTGCCTTCTGTTTCTCCGCACAGTGTCTAAATACCTTTGCAATGACTGCTCGCTCTTCATTTCTGGTGAAATTCTCGTGCCATTTAGAACAATGTGAGTTTCAAAGTTCATATGGAACTTTCTGTACTGTACATCTGTACTTTACCAGTCTAGCTGTTGATTAGACGTCACAGAAATATTCATAGGTTCCATTCAAAGTACTTGTCTCTGGGGAAACAGAAACAGAGACTTTCACACTGTTTCTGACCACCAGGTCTCTTACCATGCTTCTTTGAGAATGCCCAGCTGTCTTATGTAGTGCAAAATGCCACAGTCCTTCCTGTTTTAAACCAAGACTCTGGGTATTATACTGTCTACATCAATCATACTTATTCCAGCTGGTTTGATGCAACTTGTTACCTGCACTTTTCCTTTCTGGAGCATGTGATCAGAGATAAACAGTGGCCAGATGGTTTTCTCAAAACTGGGCTAATCTGGTCTATTTATTGATTAGTAAAAGGTATACTACATGAAAACAAAGGTTTAAAACCCCAGAAAGAACTACAGCATTACTTTTTTTACCTAAATTTGTAAAGAGAAGCTTTTCAACAGACAGAAAACAAAACAATTATTAAGCTCTGTCAGTTGGTTATATAGTATTTTACTTTGCTTTAAAGCAAGCTGTATGGGTTTTGTCCACAATTTGTCACTTCCCAGACTGATATTTAAAAGATTATGCGAACTCTATCAAAACTTATTTTCATTCAGAATATGACATACATTAAAATCTGGTTCCTTGATTTAAAAAATTACATCCAAGCTTAAATCCAGATAATTTCACCCCTGAGCAACAGCTGGTATGAGGATTTCCTCTTGCAGCTGGTCAGGTTTTGGGCAGTGAACACAAAGGGAGGTCTGATTACAGCAGTTCTAAGTATTGCTGCTATTAAGATATTACACTGGCTTGAGAGCTAACCTGTACATTGGAAGTGAGAAAGGATACAGACATCAAACAGCAAAAGTACTCTACTCCATCTGATTTTATTGCTTCATATATACTGGTAGCCTTCTCGCAACTTTTTCATGACAGTATGAGGAGCCTACTATGCCCTACCTCCATTCTGGATCTGCCTGGTGAATTCTTGGTACTGCAGGCAGCTTCAGTACCTTGGAAGCACCTTAGAAAAGTCAGAATAGCCTGATATTATCAACTCCTGAGAGCTGCTTCAAAATCCCATTTCCAAATTTCACATTTACATTAGCTTATGATCATCATTATTTTGACAAAATTCTGTACTTCACTGTGGTGTAGCTTCAAATCTCTCCATTTACACCTCCTTTTTTTTTTTTTTACATTAAACTTTGATTGATAAACTGCATTTGCTTTCATAAACACCCAGGTCAGTCATTTCTTGCAGTGAACTACCACTCAACTTATTCATCTCAAAATCACCACTGTAGAGGGAAATTCTCATAATTACAGAATCTTAGAATATCCTGACTTAGAAGGGATCCCCAGGGATCTGCCCTTCAGAGCCCAACCATCCCTTCATGAATCACAGAATCATAGGAATGGGAAGAAACCCACAGACTGATTGAAAGTCTTTTTTCTATTTGTAAACAGTTTTATAGGATCCTTGCTCTGTTCCAACCCTAGACTACTAACAATGGTTATCCTCTAGTTTAATGATCCTATATCTAAACTGAAAATTATACTGTCACAGAATTTACTTCTGGAAAAATGAAAATTCTCATGATTTCAGTATGTTAGTTAATATTTGTTCAAATAAGATACGTACACTCTCTAACTTCATGAATAATTTACCTTTTAGAGAAAAAAACATGGCCTACCATTAGGGAAGGGGAAGGGAAGGAGACTGCAAGGTCTGATTCATATGTTAATTCAAATTTAAACTTTCATAACTCTGTTGAACTCCATGAAGTTAGTGACTCATAAATAGAACAACATAAAGATAAATTAGGCCCAGCATAGTCTTATTTGGAATTGTATTGCTGAAACTTGATTAAGGTAGATCCTTGAGAAAGACCACAAAGAATCTCAGTGCCACACTGAGAACTACAGAAATAGAATCTGAGTGAAATTAAGTAATATAAAATGCAAAGTTATACTTGTAGGAGCTATAATAAATTCACAACATGCAGGAGAACATTTGAAATAGGAAATTTAGGGAGATAAATTTTTAGTGACTAATAATCAAACGTGTAATCAGACCAAGAGGAGAGGCAAATCTATCTGTGAAAGTTATTATGTGAAATATGAGGGCTGCTCTGAAAGTAATGCCTCCTATTTTATTATGTTGGCCTATGACATCAGAGTGGTGATTATGTTGGTGGTATGACAATAGAGGTAAAATCTTCTTGTCAACATTCCATTACATTTTGCTGCCATGTGACAGATGGCAGCAGCCTATAGATCTGACAAAATGGCATCTGACATGGGCTTATGTGTGAAGCAATAGTGTGTCAGTGAACTCCTCCTCAAGTAAAAAATGGCACTCGTTGACATTCATTGTCACTTACTGAGTGTTTATGGAGACCAAACATTGGATGTCAGCACAGTGAGAAGTGAGTGGTGCATTTCATCAGTGGCTACATTGGCATTAAAGGCAAACTATGTTCTGGATGGCCATGAAGATTTTCACAAGCGCAGCATGCCGGCTCTTGTTCATTGCTGACCAAAATGAATAGCTAATGGTGGTGATTATGTTGAAAAAGAGTGTTTTGTAGCTAACAATTTGTTCTATCAAATAAGGTTATCGTACTCTTTGTATCTGTTGCAGTTTCCATGGAAATAAATATATAAATAAATACTTCTGGAGCAACTTTTTTTTTTTTTGGTAGGTAAGAAAGTATTTGTGTTATTTATATAAGATACTTTCAAAATTTTCATTGAAATAGTCCATCACAATTCTGGTCACTCATATTCAAGAACAATCACATTTTAGCTCAAACAATTCCAGGGGAGCAACCAGTATGATCGGAAATTTGGACAGCCTGTTTTACAGGGAAGTCTAAAAGAATGCATGGCTTTTTGAACTTCTTAGAAGAATGGCCAAGAGGGGATAAATTTGCTTCATATAAACACATCGCAAAGTTAAATGTAAGAGACAGAAAAGCTTTTTAAGCTGAAATCTTCAAAAGAGTAAAGCAAGTGGTTATGGAATAAAATCAGAATAAGAAACATTGAAAGTCTTTACCCATCATAGGAAAAAGTTTCTGGAAAAAAATTCCAATAGGAATAGAGAAACAGAAATGTATATAGTGTCTACAAGGTTAAAATAATCAAATTGTAAAAGCTACTGTGGGCCATGGTTCCTTGCATTGGCAAAGTCATTACACTTGGAAGATACAACTATGGAGGTAAAAAAAAAAAAAAAAAAAAAAAAAAGGTACTACTTCTACCCATTTATGAGTCTGCCTTTTAGATGGAGTACATTTTAGCTAACTAAATTTGACTCTAAAAGACAGCGCTGGAATGTAAGCCAATTTAAATAAGATTTGCTTCAATGATTCCAAGGAAACGTGTTATATACAGAAAGGTTTTCAGCATGATAGATGCAATTTTGCACACTTTTTTGTAACCTACTCAAATTATTACCTTATACGTTATCAAGATACAGCAGAATATTATGTTATCATACTGCCAAGCTAAACAGAAAATATTTTCATGTTTCTCTTTAACAAATTTATTACATGTACATACTTCATTTAGGGAAAAGGGTTAATTGGTTTATGCTCACTGAAATGTTTTACAGAAAACAATTCTACTTTATTTTGAAATGAACACATCTTTTTTGGGAACTTCATTCTAGTTCTTCAAAGATTGTCATTATGTTGCGCATTCAGTGGTAAATGTGTCTCACTGGAAGTGAGAAAGAAAGTCTGAAGTCAATATACTGTCATGCCAAATATCTTCCTAAAGCAAGATGGGCTGCCAATTCCTCTTAAAGAAATCTCAAAGGGAATTAAATTATATTCTTCACTGCCTTAAAGTCCCTAAACACAGGTTAGAACAGGTTTTAAGAGATGCTGTGCTTGCAACTATATGCAAGTACATCTAAAAAAGCACCTTTCTATGCTTGCAGCTACCTCACTCATCAAAACCACGTAGTGAGCAGTGACTACTGACTGAGGTGAAAGAGGTCACAACAATAAACTATTAAGTAGCCTTATACAACACCCATTAAAATCAACAGAAAACATTCCAGTGACTTCAATAAGAATTGAATCAAATCTTTTAGAGAGAATTATAAAGAATAAGAAAATAGAATATTAAGAGAGATTAGGAACTTGGGATGGTTATTTCTCCCTCGGGAGGGACATTTTAGCTTATGTTTGCAATGACAATTATAGTGAAGAACATAAAAGAAAATATAAACTTTAAATACACAAAAGGCCAATATAATTCCTGATAAAACCTGATGAAATTAAACGGAAGTTTGAAAGTGTAAAAGCAGTAATATTTTGTATATATTAGGACTAATTATGCTCTCATCTAAACACTTGGCTATTTCTTTTTATCTGTAAGGGAGCAGGAAAAGTTCCATGACATCAAGCATATAGGGATGAAACCCTGAACCTTCAATCTCAAGAACACAAGTTCATTTTGTTATTCAGTTTGTTGCTTCAGAGCAAGGTGAGCTATGTGTACATTTTCTTTGGTATGAAGTACAGGTTGTTACAATCCTATCATCCAAACCAACCAGAGATTCTTTTTAAATTGAACAAGTCACACCAATGAGGATATTCACTGAAAAAGTCTGTTATGACTAAATACCTTTTCTGACCTCCTTCATCTTCTTTTTCTCCACTGTTTCCCCCTGCTAACAACCACTGAGCCTCCTTATGAAACAGAAACAAAATAACTCATTTTAAAAGATGAAATATGCATTTGTTTTGAGAAATCACAGAAAAAAAACCTCTCCACATAAAACAGAAGGCTGCTGACCATTAACCAACTCATCAGTATGATACCTAGTAGCAATTTCTTTTTCATCATCACTGTCTCATCTCCAGGAACTATCATTATTCATGCAGTCTCATATGCTTGAATTCTTGGTGGTATATTAAGAGACTATTGTTAAATTATAGCAAGTGACTTTATCTCAAGTGGACAGAAATACTGGGCACAAATCACCCTCTCCTTAATTCTGTCCATGATTGAATCCATAGTCACCTGCAAACAGGATAAGAGATTCGTAGAAGGCTGAGAAGTACGGAGTGGGTACATGAAGAAAAAAAAAGAACATAAGGCCTTTACCCATTTGCTGTTCCTTGACTTGAGGAGAGAGAAATACTATATAGATAGTATTTGTTTACTCAAGAAAATAATTGCAATAATGAAGAGCAGCCTGGTGACAAATTCAACCAAGCTTACATTTAGGAATTACCTCTGCTGAGCTACTTAATTAAGAGAGAGAAACAAAAAAACAAAAAAAAAAAAAAAAAAAAAAAAAAAAAAAAAGAACACTAGAATTATTATCCATATTAAAAATGATCAGACATTGATCAGAACAAAATTCTTAAGTTTAGGAAACTGTTAACTTCTGAATAATTCATGATTTTCAAACATACCTCCAAATAAGTCTAAGATTTCTAAGAAATCGTGCAATTAAATGTACACCTGTCTTCTTGCAAGAATGTTCTTCACATGATGACTATTGTCTCTTTCAAAGCATGCATTATACGAGCATTTGTATTTTTGCAGAAGATTAGAAATCTTTCTTTTTCTTTGAGACAAGTTTTGCAAAAGAAGTATTTTACACTCCAAAGATTTCTATCTAAATCACTAGAGATGATTAAATAAAAATATCACAAACTTATGCACAATACAAAAACAAAAGATGTTAGAATGTAATGCAAAATAATTAAAATTTGATTAAGGATCAGTGAAGACAAAATGAGTCAAGTCCTTCAGAACAAAATTTCTATTCAATATTCTTCAAATTTTACATGTAATAGGTATCCTGTAGATGAAATTGCTTAATATTCATTTTTCATTTGTATATACTTATCCACAGAGTAGATAATTTTATGATTCTATTGCTGAACATTAATGCTTCTCAGGCAACAGCTGCTCTACATTTAATTTGACTGCATATCGTATTTCTTTTAACATAGATCTCTTGAACATACAATGCAAATACTGCAAGTTCTTCTCTTCTGAAATA